TTTTTTTTTTTTTTTTTTTTTTTTTTTATGTGTCTTTCTTGTTGTGTGTTGTTGAAAACCCAAAAAAGAGAAGCCCGCCCATGTGCCTGTACCTCTTCGCCACGAAAAGGGAAATAGATCGACCGAAAAGGAAAGGCTCGCTTTTTTTTTTTTTTCAAGGCGTGCGCTCTTTGAGCTGTGCTCACCCCCCTGTGGCACCACACACTTTTGTAAGGGACGCTGGGCCCGTTTCCCTAGGGAGGCTGGGCCCATATCATAAGAGCTCTTATGATATGACTGTGGGTCTACCCCCACTACTCAGGAAATCACAAAAACACTCGGAGTGCAGCTGTCCGCAGAAGCCTGCAAGATAATGCGTCACTATAAATAGTAACAGATGTGTTTGGCCCTCTATTGTGGGTGGATGCACTTGCTTTTTTTTTTCTGACCCCGTTTCATACGTAGTGTGTACGAGTTCGTCGTGTGCACAGATGCAAAACTCTACACAACAACAACAACAACAAAAAAAAAAAAAAAAAAAAAAAAAAAACTTTACACAAGCAAATGGTAAGACTGAAGAAGTACCACCACCAAGAGAGAGAGAGAGAGAGAGAGAGAGAGAGAGAGAGAGAGAGAGAGAGGGAGGGGATAGAAATACGAAAGGAGGGCTGAAACAAAAGAAGAAGAGGGAAGACAAAAAACGAAACTGTGATTTTGCATTGTGTTTCTGCTGCGGCTAGGACAGGTCATCGAGCAGAGGAAGAAGATGGGCGGTGTCAATGCCGCAAAAGAGGCCAACTACCTGATCAGCAAACGGATGAAGATATTGGAAAACAGACTCGATAAGGTAACACGTGTGCATAGCATTTGTTCCCCCCCCCCCCCCCCCTCCCTCACCCCCCCACGCCGTCCGTGGAGGGGGATTCCTCAGTGGAGAGGTTGACTTCGTATGATCTTTGGAACGCTGTGCTTTTTAACCTTGATATGGTTTGTACCATACTTGCAAGCGGACGCCGTCCGGGCGGTTCCGCACGTGCGGAGGACCGCCAGAACGGACCCGGGCGGCGCACGAATGTGCGCACGACGACCAGTTACGCCCCAACCCCCCCCCCCCCCAAAAAAAAAAAAAACGGCCCCGTCCGGTCCAGTCCGGGGGGAGGGTGCCGCACGCGGCAAAGCGGACCGGACCGGACGCTCCTCCGGTCCGTTCGCTTGCGAGTATGGTTCTTACACCTTTGACACAGTTTATGGTGTGTCCGAATTTTTACGGACGATTCTAGACTTTGTCTGTGCCCCTGTGGTCCTTTAGGGGCAAGGCCTCACAGGTGCGTGAACGCGAAAATGACCATGCTTATGACCGCTACAGTCTTCTCCCAAATGGAGCGTACGGTCATTATAGCCGTATTTGGCTAAGAATTTCGTCCAGATGCGGCAGAACTGACCGCCGTACATTCTATTTGGGGGAAGAAGGTAGTACATACTACACAGTCCATGTGCTGAATGGTGAACAAGTATAACTGCTGATAAACAGATCCAGGGCCGAGGTCTCACTAGCAACGAGGATCGGATTGAATGCCTGAATCTGGATGTGTTTTATGCAGAGATACAGAAAACCAGTTCAATCTCGATTTCCTGCACCTCTCCACAAACACGTCCAGATTCATGCATTCGATCCGATCCTCTGCTGGTGGGACCACGCTCCAGGTGTTGGAGACTAGCTGGTGGCTCAAGGTTTGGGGGTAGCCCCCCCTTTAGAAAAAGGTGGGGCGACGGAGGGCGCGGGGGCAAGATACCCAGCAGGGTTGTTGGCCCTGGGCCCTGCATCCCTGGCAGGGTTGTTGGGGAAAAATCAAAAAAGAAAAAAGGGGGTGGGCGCGAGCGTCAGTGCCGCCCCAGTGGCCGTTTCACCCGGATGCTCTGAATCTGGACGAGAAAAAGGACTCCCTTTTACCTCAACTCCTAGGAATGTGGGCTTGAAGTTGTCCCCAGAGCAATGGGGGCAAGGTGGCACTTGACATGGGGTGGGGGCGCATGGGAGTAGGGTGGGGTTGAGCTGGGGACCTGCTGGGGGGAAGTGGGCTGGGGTGAGAAGTACATGGTAGTGGCCGTGGGAGGAGGGGCAACTTCTTTACAGTTCTATGAAACATAGCATTCATTAAACGCGCATTTCCCGATCACAAATTGAAAAAAAAATTGACAGTTTGAACGCGCGCAAACGCAGATTTCAATTCCGCAGTTGAGCCCCCAGAGCCGTTGGGGGGTGGGGGGGGGGTGCATACCGGGGAAGGGGTCTGTTAGGGGGGCTGGAACCGACTGCCCCCCCCCCAAAAAAAAAGGGGGAAAGAAAACGAAGAGGAGAAATTAAAAAATAAAAAAGAAACAGGAAAAAAACGGAAAAAAAGAAACACAAAAAAAACAACGGAAAAATGGGGAGAAAGTTTGAAAAGCGAAAAATAAAATAAAATGTGTGAGGAGTCTGAGGACACACACACACACACACACACACACACACACACACACACACACACACACACACACACACACACACACACATACACCACGCTGCCTCCCGCTGCCTCCCCCGCTTGGTAGCCCCCAGGGTGCGTGCCCCGGCGGTGCGTGCGTGTTCATTTGTTTCCCGTGTGCCGCCACGTGGTGTGTTTGAACGCGATTGAATGTGCGCTCGGGGAAATTGAATGCCCGCATATGAACGTGAACACGCGTTCATGGCGTCCAAACAGCAACATAACTACAGTTCCCTGTCTTCTGGTGCATGGGTTACATACAGAGCAAATTTCCCCTAAACGGATCAATCGGACCCCCTCCCTTCCCCCTGCCTTTGCCAGTGTGCAGGCCATGACCCTGGTTTTCTTGCGGTGATCCTCACTTGGAAAATCTGATAACCAGGTCGTATGGCTCCATGGTACACCCACATAACTGCGGATGAACATATCGGGACTTTTGCTACTGAACTCAGGGCCTCAGCCTTTAGTGCCTGAGGCCGACACACAGAAGCCAAAGGAACCTTTGTTGCAAAATGTCTGGTTTGGAAGTATATCTCTTTGGGAAACGAGTTTTTGTTTCTCTATTCGGCAATCAGTATTGTCATTTCGAAACGGAAGTAAACCTCGCTGCACCTGTCTACACTGTATGACTTCACCTCAGTCATTGATTCTACCGTGATGCGAAAAACATGCTACACGCTTAACGTGCTTGACGTATCAAAGTCATTGGTTTATCATAGAGACGATTTCGGGCAAAAGAAACCCCCATGGTGTGACCGGCGGTGTGTACAAGGCCTGAGTACATATTCACCGCGGCATGCTGATCCGCGATTACTAGCGATTCCAATGTCATGTTCTCGAGTTGCAGAGAACAATCCGAACTGAGGTAATGTTTCAGGATTCGCTCCGCCTTCCTATTGTCATTGCCATCGTAGCACGTATGTAGCCCAACCCATAATTATTTTGTGAGAGTGTGTGTATAGCTGTTTGGGATCGAAAACGTCAAAAACTGTGTCGTCGCTGCACTTACTCTACGAAGTCAACAGAGTTTACAACTATCGACTAACTGTTTCATCGGAGTTTCACTGAATCATGAGGAGGCCGAACTCTCAGCAGTCTGCATAATTCCCTAACTGATTACATTGTAAGTGATAATCCACCTTAACATATATATATATATATACAGGGTTGCCAGGCCGAACGTACAGAGGCCCCTAAGCTGACCCCCGAACGTTCGGGCGTTCGGGTCCCCGTACGGGGCCCGAACTCGAAGGGGTTCGGACCCCGCAAAAAATTATTTTGGTACCTAAATTTTTTTTTTTTTTTTCTGATTTATTTTTGTACGTTCCTTGTCATGTAAGCTATACGCCTCTTAATTTTGAAGGCATTCTGTGCAGCCAAAAAATAATGAAAAATCGACAAAGATGGTGGTGTCAAAACTTGCTTGCCCACTTACCAATTTGGTTTTTTTCTCTTTTCACTTTTTGTTTTCCTTTTATTTCGGGGCATGAAAACAACTATTATTTTTTCGAAATTTATTTATAGGTTCTATATTATGTAAGATACATATATATAAAATTTCATGGCATTTGACAAAGCCAGAAAAAAAATTAAAAATCGCCAAAGATGGCGATGTCAAAAACGTCCTCGCCCACGCAATAATTTCATTCTCTTTTTTTTTTTTCTTATTTTCAGTAATATTATTTATTTTTCATCTTCGATTTTTAATTCAAGTTTGGTAACGAATTTGGATGTACTGTTGTGGCAAAAGTTGTTGCGTTTATTCTTCTGCATCACATATATTTGTTTCAGATTTTTTAAAAATTGTTTTTTTTTTTTTTTGGTTCGCGTTCGGCCGAACGACCGAACGCGTCGAGAGGGGGTCCCCAATGTTCGGGTGTTCGGGTTCGGGTGTTCGGCCCGTCTCGAACGCCGGCAACCCTGTATATATATATATATATGTATATATATATATGTGCTACCAGCCAGGCCGCCGGGGTCATCTTATTTTCCCGCGGGCCCGACTGTGCAAGGACTAGGGAAGGTCTCATCCAAAAACAAAAAAAACAAAATCCAAAAAATCGGAAAACAAACTATGTTATGCAGATAAATAAACTGAACAACTTTTGCCGAAGTGTCACATCGAAATTCTTCACCAAAGTTAAAATAAACTTTTAAATTAGAAGTTAAAACCTTTTTTTTTTTTTTTTTTTTTTTTTTTTGGCCCAGCCGGGCAAGTGGACTTGGGTCACTCTGGTAGCCTCTCTCTCTATATATATATAGTCTTGGACTGATTGGCCTCGGGTAAATGCAAGGTTCTTTTCCTCCTCCAGTGGGAGTGCTCTTACCACCCTCGGTATAGAAGGCCAGCTTGAAGATGTTTCCAACTTTTTGGCTTTTTTATTATTGTAATTAAACAAAGAGAAAATACGTATAAACCATGCGTTTTGAATTTTAAATTAAAAAAAAGTCCTATGAGAAGAAAAAAAAAAAAAAAATGCACTTTTTGTTGGGGTGGGGGGTGGGGGAGAATGCATTTTGGCATGACAGTGTATGTTTCCATGGGCAAGGTTTTTTTTCTTTTTTTTTCTTTTTGTAATGGGCCGGATGGACTACAAGTCGAAAATTAAATGGAGATTCTTAGCCAAAAGGCCTAGAAAGGTATATTTAAAGAAACGAAAGGGTTTTTGTTTCCCTTTCATGAACATTATAGATTGTTTGTGCAATTTTCATCTTTTGGTTTTTCCCTCCTCCTTTTGGGTCTTTTTTTTGTTGACCCATATTGTCCTATTTCAATGCTTGCTTGACTGATATATTATCAGGTCATGATTAAATACAATGAGGCTCTTACGCGAAATAGGGAACTACATGATGTGATCGATAATCTTCGCTGGGAACGATTAATTACCAGCCAGGTGACTCTCTCTCTCTCTCTCTCTCTCTCTCTCTCTCTCTCTCTCTCTCTCTCTCTCTCTCTCTCTTTCTCACACACACACACACACACAGACACACACACACACACATAAATGCATGATTACGTGCCATAGTAGTGTGTAACTTCATCTGGAAATCAAAATTTTGAATATATTGTCAAGTGACAATGCTTGTTAACCAGCAGTTGCTGGCGAGTAGAATGTGTTTCCTGCTTTTCATTGTTGTCATGCCAATTCATTTATGTCCTTTCTAAATGGTTTACAAAAGACATTACTATTAACGAGCAGCAATTACTGGCGAGTGTAATGTGTTGCCTGCTTTTCATTGTTCTTATTTTAATTCATTTATGTCTTTCAAAGTGGTTTGCAAAAGGCATCAGTATTAGGGAGTTGCACTCCATTCACAAGTGAAATAAACTACTCAAAAAGTTGCCTCGCAAAAAATGTTCCATTTTTTAAAAGAAAAAAAAGTGATTTTTTTCTAATAATACAATGCTATGGCATCAATTGAACTGTTTTTGCTCCAGGTGAGTGATATAGTATGGCGCAGGGGGGGTTCACCCCCCAAATATTAGCCTTGCAATGAGATGTCTAGGAAAAAAAAAAGAAAAAAAAAATCCTCACAGACTAATTCTAAAAGCAAAAAAAAAAAAAAAAAAAAAAAAAAAAAAAAAAAAAAAAAAAAAAAAAAAAAAAAAAAAAAAAAAAAAAAAAAAAAAAAAAAAAATAAAAAAAACAGCAGCAACAATAACAAAGTTAGAGTCGTAAACCACCATTACATTTGACCCTTATCGTATTTGCACCACAATTTTCGGGGTTTGGGCTCCAAAGCAAAATGGCTGGCAACGCTAGCTAAAAGGAGGTGTGGTGTTGTTTCTTTCTTTGGCGCTCAGGGCATTTCGAGTATCAGAGCGAAGTGCCTTGGTGGCTTAAAACTATTTTCGTCCTTTATACCTTCCTCTTTTGTTGGCTTAACCCTCGCCACCTCCCCAATTTTCATATAATCATTTGCCTTTGTCAACCGATCTCGTTTTATTGTGTCTTTCACCACCTTTTTGCTAAACATGTTTCGGCATGTGAAAAAAAAAACGTTTTCGACATATTGTGTTTTGTCAACGCCTTTCATCTTCACTTTAATTAAATTGCAAACTTATGTTTTTTTTTTGTCCATTTGATCCTTCGTAATTCATGTGTACTAGTGATGTTGGTCATACAGCGACACTCTCCGACTTTGAAAACTGGTTACTGTATTGGTATGCTTTTCACAACAAGATACATATTATTTTTCAGATTTTGCAAGGGGTGCAGTGGGGCCTAAGAGATTTATGGGATACACAGCATAACGCATGTATGTTGACAAAGAAGTTGAAACCGAAATTTAGAAAGGGTGGAGATCGAGAGACGAGACTAATGAAGCTAGTTAATATCATTTTGTTCACTTTGATTATAACACTTTAAGCCACCACTCCAAAATCTTTATTGTCTCCGTCCTTCTGTTGCACGGATAAATCGAGAATTAGCATAACCCTTGCGCAAGGATGACACACATAAATCGAGAATTGGTCTGATAAGAAAAATTATTCATTTTAAAAAACTTTTAAGGGGAATAAAACAATTTACAGTGTCCAGGTCCGATAAAGGTTTAGTAGGATACGGTACCACAACTATGTTTCTTCACGGCGACATAATAAATTTTAGCCTCGGGGAAATGCAATTTTTGGTTTATCAAAATAGATCCAAATGAAGTGTTAGTTTAAATCACTTATACATAGATCCAATTTTGTGGAAAAGTTATTTGTCGCCTACTCCGATAAAGTTGTGGTTGACGCATCATTGATAACATTCATCAATGGTCTATGTCGTGTTTCTGGCCTCTGAAACCCGTGGTAAGGGGGGTGGGGTCGATGTATGGTCATGTATCGGTTTCAACAAGATTCTAAATCCTCACGCACCGTTGATAAYATTCATCAATGGTCTATGTCGTGTTTCTGGCCTCTGAAACCCGTGGTAAGGGGGGTGGGGTCGATGTATGGTCATGTATCGGTTTCAACAAGATTCTAAATCCTCACGCACCGTTGATAATATTCATCAATGGTCTATGTCGTGTTTCTGGCCTCTGAAACTCGTGGCAAGGGGGGTGGGGTCGATGTATGGTCATGTATCAGTTTTAACAAGATCCTAAGTCCTCCAAAATGATTACTGTCATTCCTCAAACAGAACGCACTCACATCATGAATGTATACATAACATCCTTTTGGGTTGATACAGTCATGATGAGGGTGTATTGTACTTGGGGGAAGACAGTAGGTAGTCCCCATTTCTGCTCTACTGCTATCATGGTCATTTATAAGGTAAAAAACATAAGAAGACAATGCCTATGAGCTGGAGCTATTGAGCAATAAATGGCAGGTTGCACTTCTTAAAGAAGTAGGAAGTTGGATATGACCATGGACTAGATACAACTAATGGGAGCACGAGTGGTAGGCAGTAGAAAACATAATCTCTCCTTTGAATGAGCACGGGAAGGTAAAAATTTCATAGGAGTCTAACAATGTGTGCGAAAAAGGGCTTATAGAGCTATCTTCTTCACCTGAATACAGCATATGGTTATGATTGTTATATTAACTGAAAGATAATTGAAATACAATTATAATGACTGTACGTGGTATTTGGGTAAAGAAGGTAGGATGAATTCTCTCCCACGTCGGACAACCATACAAGTTTGCAGAGAGTTTCCGTGTAGGAGAAAAACTGTGGTGCCTTTTTTTTTTTTTTTTTTTTGTGGGGGCTTTCTTCAAATTTAAAATTTTGTTATAATTTGAAATATTAGAAACTTGACCACTTCAATAAAACAGTGGCATACTTTGTATCATGTGAAAGTTGACTATTTATCCGACGTCTTCATTTTTTTAAATTGTGTAGGTCTTTTCATACGTTATCCGGTTACTTAATTTTCTGATATTATACTACCTTTTTTTTATATGTGATTTGTGTTAAATAATTTTTCACCTATCCAGGTAGTTAGATAAATTCGACTAGAAGTAGAAGAAGAGTTTGCCATGTCAAATCCATGCATACATGAACCATACACAAGCGATAAAATTTAATTATGCATGGTGCGACACAACCATGATCTTTCAATCTACTACCTATTTTTCCTTTTGTTCTCACTAACAATTTCATTATTAATTTTCACAGGCTGTTATTTTCCCTCGTGAAATTATGGATCCCACGATTGAAGTAGTGATTTAAATAGCATCTTTGTAAAAGCTCCATGATCAAAACAATTACTGCGTAAGGTTGGTGTGAGTAGAGTCAACGCGTGCCCTTGCCGCACTTCATTATGACAAGAGAAATGAAGCAAATAATGATTTCATTTGCTGATACGATAGTTGATAAAGTTTACGGTAATCATTACAATCAGATTTATCATGCTAGACTATTGAGAATATTGACGTTCATTTGCTTTCTAAACAACTGCTCACTCAACATATCTGACTATTTTGGAGGCAATGTCTTTTTCTCAACAGCCACTCACGTCGCGCATCCAACTATTTTGTCCCACCTCGATGACTCCGTCATCATTTATCATGGATTAGACATCAATTATTGCAAAGTCTACCAAAGGTGACTTAGGCAAACTGCCCCCCCCCCCCCCCCCCCCCCCCCCCCCCCCCCCCCCCCCCCCAGACCCACACACGCACTCATTTATCCCCCCCCCCCGCTCCCCACCCCCCACATATGAGCGTGCACATAAGCACGTATTGTCTTTTTTTTTTTGATGATCTTTTTCTATTTGCAATGATAAAGGTGATTAATCAATAGAATAACCAATCAATCAATCAATCAATAAAAAAACATTAAATCAATCAAAACCCAAACATTCGCCCTACCTTTTTATGCACCTAGATACACATTCAAAGATGGGAAGAGGAGGAGGGTAGGGTGGTTGAACGATGACAACAAACTTGCCACACAAAAAAAAACGGAAGAGAGAAGAACACCCTTACTTCCATACCCTGAAAAAAAAAATGATAGGTTAAAAAAAAAAACACACTAAAAGTTCGTCGTTCAACAGAACACTTGGAGCAGGAGGCCTGAAAGTTAGTACATTTCGAGTGTCAATGCGGTCAAACCCGAAGGCCAATACATTGACGTACACGATACATACGTTATATTCAAATATAACATATAAATGTCATAGTTGAACAGAATGTAGTTCATATTTGAATAAAACATTTTTTTTTTTCTTCATTATTTTATTATGATATGACTCTACTGTAAAACAATTAAGTTACTGTATCATAACTTTTCAAAAATAAAAAGTTTGCTTATTATGTGAATGTGAAAATCAATGTTTTTTCACAATTGATGAAATGTTAAAGTGGTGTATGTAAAAAACTCAAGTCAGTCTTATGGAATATCTATTAGTCTTTCGAAGGTTTTTGTAGTATGTGCATAATATACTGTTATTTTACTATTATTATCATTATGATATGGCTCTACAATAAAAAACTTAAATTATCGTATCACAACTTTTGAAAGGAAAAAAAAAAAATTGCTTGTGATATGAATGTGAAAATCATGAATTTTTCACAATTGATAAAATGTGAAAGTGGTGAATGTGAAAAACTATAGTTGGTCTTATAGAATCTCTTCTAACCTTTTAAAAGTTTTTTGTATAGTGTGTATAGTATACTGCTATTTTACAATTATTAATATATACATTCAAAAGTAATTGAATAATATTATTTTCTTAGGGTATATAAAAAAAAATTGGTACTTCAAATTGTAAAGCAAATGTCAATTACAGTATGTCATAATGCACCTCGTATGTTGTATTTGTACATAATCTACGTACGATATATACAAGGGAAAATGCTAGATGATAATTGTCTATAGAGTTTAGTTTGATTGACAACTCGACATTTGTAATTTTTCAGCAAAAAAAATGTATGTATTATGGTATTGTTGCTACAAGTGCGAAGTCTCCCCATTAACAACATGCTAGGTTTAGTTGTTGGGAGGTTTATTGCATCCATTGATACGTTTAAGTGATCCTAAATTCAAAATGTTCTTTTTTTTAAGGAAAAATAAAAATAAAATTATGAACTCCTTTATTAACCACGTGATTATCAAGATCTGTAGTTGGTACCACAATTCATTTTTTGGGGGGAGACGGGGGAAAGTGGACTGCTATTTACAATTAAAAACAAATAAAGAAACAATAAACCTCACAGAAAGGAGGGTAAGTGGATCATTGAATCCAAATAGTTGTCTCTACATTTATTTTTTTTTGTAAATTAAAGTTTTATTTTTTTAATTTCATGAGGCTTCATTGTATCAATGAAATAAGAGAAATGTTTGTTAGACTTTCTAATTGCTCGTTATGAGATATCATAGATAGACAGGGTCAGAAACTTGTCGTGGGAGCCATGAGGGTCCCAAGGTGGCCTACACTTTCAATTTCGAAGGTAATTAATTCACATTGCAATAGGGTAATCAATGTCGTATTCCGCTGTATATTCCTGTTTTTAAGGTGACCTACACTTTCAATTTTGAAGGTAGCTAATCCACATTGCAAGAGGGTAATCAATTCCGTCTTCCTCTATACATTCATGTTGTGAAATATTGCTTTTATTTTCTAACATATGTAGATGACCACTAATAAATTATAATTTGTTAAAAAAAGACTTAAATAGTGATTTCGCTTTACCTTTTTTTTATAGATGAAGCGACATTTTGTGTTTTTCCATCAAACAACATTCGAAGCCTTTCTCCAATAAAGGAGCAACCTTTACGGATAATTCCATTCTATTCAGAGTAAGCATCACATGTTGAAAAATTATTTAGTAAATGAGCAATAATACATTTCCAAACTCTTTAAAATGTTTATAAGGATTCATTTTATTTCCTGTATATTGCAAAACTTGCTTTATTGCTTTTTCATTTTTACTAGATGCATTGCGTTAATCCCTTCAAAGTGATGATCAACAAAGTCATTGGAATGTAAAAAAACTTTTTTGTTTGAGGAAAAAAAAAAATTGTTCGATGGTCCCAAGGATATAACCTAACAAATGACATGGTTGCTTTCAAAATATGAACAAAGCACAAGGTGAAATATTAAAATAGGGGGAAAAAAACATAAGTGAAGATTAATATCAAAATAGTTTTTAACATGGAATGACACGACAAAGATTCATATGGACGCTGCACAAATAATGATGATACATACAAATTGAAAAATGGTTCATAACTTGTTATTTAAGAAAAATGCTGACTTTCTTTTTATCTCTATTGTTTAAATGCCAATGTGTGATTTGTGTGTCTTGCACAGATTCAAGATGCATTGTATAAAGAGCTCCAACATAAACGGAGGGATATTTCCCGTATTGTAGAAATATCAAATTTAGCGTAAGTTATTTTATCAAATTTTGTGTAAGTTCTTTTTAAGAAATAAAAAACATATATTTTTTCTTTTGGCATGAAAGAGAGCAGTATGGTTGGTTTAAGAAAGTCACTGAGGTTCAGTCGCACTAACAATGAAATAGGATTGAGATTTTTTTGTAGTGGTAGGAGGATCGACATTATTTGTGCGATAATGTATGATGCTATGCTCAGTTTTATTTTACACCCATCAACTGAAAAATGAAAGAAATCTTAGTACTCCAGGGGCGAGATCCTACTAGCAAACGAAACAGGATCAACTGCCTCTATCTGGATTTCTTTTATCCAGAGATACAAACAAGCAAAAAAATAACAATGTTTTGCGTCTCTCCACTTATACATCCACATTCAATTGTTAGTACAACCCTTTGAACACCCTTAGGCTCCTATCAATCCTACCAACCCCCTATCCTGCTCAGTCGAAGTCAAATTCAGAAATTGTCTATTGCCCCAATTCTCCGCACACCCTCCCCTCTAAAAGTGAAGATCGTCAATCACAATAGAAATATAGAAAGTGCGGGATAAAGCCCAAAGCCCTGAATTGAGAAGTGTTCACTCCGACTGTTAGTCCTTTTCAAGAAAGCAAAATTAGAAACCCCACATCCACCATCGTCCAACTCATGAGAACAACACAATTCAAAATCGTTAGTCGCAATAGAGATACATAAGAACTAAGATAAAGTTCTAAATCCTGAATTGAAAACAATTCACTTCAACGACCACTCCTTTTTAAGAAAGCAAAAGTAGAGACCCTACATCCAGTGTCCTCCAATTCACTATAGGTTCCCAACCTATTGTAATGATTTCACGTGTCTCAATATATTAGTTCCACTAACAACCCCAAAGCCTCAGCGTCCCGCATACCATATTAGTTGTCAATCTGGTGGGGTGGTTGGGTTGAGTTCAATAGGCATGTAAGATCTAGTAGGTCTCTTGGTATAGTCAGTCCATCTCTTTGTAGATCCCAAGTTGGCCGCTCCCGTGAAAGTCAGAGAAACTACTAGAAGCATCGACGGCAGACCGCAACCAACAAAAGTAGGTATCCTTACTTGAGAAGTTCAAAATTGGAAACTGCCATAAAGTACAAAAGTCCAGCAGCAGAAAGGCATTGACACGATTTCCATTGAGCTTGTTGTGGAAATGTTGTTATGGTCTCGACGAAGAATCGAGTGAGGTTGAGAGGCAGCGATAGAGAGTCGTCAACGGTGTTGGGCAGGGAGAGAGAGAGAGAGAGAGAGAGAGAGAGAGAGAGAGAGAGAGAGAGAGAGAGAGAGAGACCATAGTGTAGTATGGGGTTGCGAGAGGGGGGAAGTTACACCTATTGAAGTTGTTGGGCGGCCATAACCGTCCAAGTTTGTGTACATGACACTTTGTGGTATAAGACTTTTCATTTCCGCAGAAGAGCTGAAGTGTCCTCGTCGTGTTGATTTGCATATCGTGCTTGGCGTGATAAAGCATGAACTTGTTGTGGTGTGAGAATCAATGTGATTTCATTGGTTCATTGCGCTATAGAGTAGTCTTTGGGAACTTCCAAACTGCCTCTCCATTTTTGAGCATCGAAGACGTCACTGTAGATAAAGCTCTCCATCGGGGGAGAAACAAAACAACAACAACAACGACACAACACTCTCTAAAGAAGTATCGCATGTAGGCGCCAAACTGGCACGTTAATCGTGAATCAACATCCTTTCTTTGATTTTGGGTCATATTATGTTGGACGATATATGTCCTAAAATAGTTTCATATAGAGATCAGTCCAACCCCACCATTTGCCTTGCCTAGGGATATGACAATGTTATTTCCTCTGCTAGCATTGTCTGCCCTTAGATCACCCAGACTCCATCCCAGCATCAACAAACCCTCCTTCCCACGTCCATCTAGGGTATAAGTTCCGTATAACATAGATACGGTTCCCAACCTTACCTCGATTCTTGGACCCTCTGTACGCGCCGTCGCACCTTTCCCCAATGCGTGATACAACAATTCGTGAATTGTTTTAGCGTAGAAGTCTAGACCATTATTCCCCACAAAAGTACTCCCACTGAACCCTTATCCAAGATCGTGTTTTTTTTTTCCCTTTTTTTCTTTATGGTGTTGTCAAGGGAAGTCACTGAGTGCACAATGATCACCTGGAGATGTGAGCCGTGGGTGTCCTGGATATCCAAGATCGTACATGGCAGCAAGCCACACATCCTTGTGATCTTCTATACGACCCTTTGCGTTGCCTGATCCTAAGCTCTCCTGATTGCTCCGAAGGATCAACCGATCCCTAACTATGTCTTGTTCCTTGGCCCATTCCACCATACTTTTTGGAGAATATTCCACCTTAGTACCATCCACCAAACAGCCAACCCACCATCTACCCTCCAGCCTCTCTGTTTGGGGAGGGCCTAGTGTTGATTCTAGGTGCCTCCCCTCTTTTTGCCCCTCTTCTGTATCTTATCCAATCTTTCCGCGGCCCATTCTTCCCTCTACCAGCCAACCCTCCAAGCAATCGATCGTCCCCACTCTTTAGCACTTGTCTACTTATTAGACCTTCTTACTCATCCCCATCCTCAAGATGTACCAACTTCAAGGAGCAAAAAAATTACAGGCGGTTGGTGCGATAAGTTTGCATCGCTTGAGAGATGGTTCTCTAGAAAATCAGCCCGTTGGCCTAGTACCGTCCCAGGGGAACCCCATCTGACTTCTGGACCCCTGGTACTAGCACTTGGTGTATTACGGGCCAGCACAAGGAGCGGAGCGTCCGTTTGGACGACAGGAGAGAAGAGGGGTAGGAAGGGTGTGCATATGGAAATGACAACACAAGAGACATGTGGAGGGGAACCTCTACGAGCAAGGAGGACTCAAGGAATCCACTAGGATACCATCATAATGGCGATATGAGAGACCTGAACTGATCAGATTTTTTTTTTTTTTTTTTTTTTTTTGAATAAAACCCTTGCGCAATGCCTCTATCCCGGTGGTGGTACTAAGAGAACCACTAGATTTGAGGCTTTGCCTGTCGGGCTGCTCCATCTATTGGTGGGGAGCGTCACCTGCTGGAAACCGGGTCCAGCGTTCCTTAGGAACATTATCTCAGCACAGTGTTTGTTATGGTACTAAGAGAACCACTAGATTTGAGGCTTTGCCTGTCGGGCTGGTCCATCTATTGGTGCTGTCTCTTATACACATCTAGATGTGTATAAGAGACAGGGTCCATCTATTGGTGGGGAGCGTCACCTGCCGGAAACCAGGTCCAGCGTTCCTTAGGAACATCATCTCAGCACAGTGCTTGTTGTGGTACTAAGAGAACCACCAGATTTGAGGCTTTGCCTGTCGGGCTGCTCCATCTATTGGTGGGGATCGTCACCTGCTGGAAACCGGGTCCAGCGTTCCTTAGGAACATCATCTCAGCACAGTGTTTGTTGGGACTATGGTCATATCAGTTCCTAGCCTGGAGCTCTGTCTTTCCCTTGAGGCTGCATCAGTCACCCTTCCTACTGACCCAGACCCCACCTGGATCGGTCTCTTGGTAGTAAACATGTGGTAGTATGATAGGAGTGGTGGATCATTGGGATGGCGATAGCGAAGTGAAGGTATAGAACAAGTAACGGAGTGTGACAAGGGGGACGGACTGTGACAAGGGGGGCATAGTGTGACAAGGGGGATAGAAGAGGGCAGGGTGGATGGAGCTATCAATCATGATGATCAAGGAGCCGTCCCATAGGCGAGCAAAGGAGGGAATGAATGAAGGGCTAAACACTGTAAACAGTATAGCGGAAACACTTATGGCACATCAGAATGTAACACGAGGGATGATTGGGTGAGGGATCGTCCGGGAACAAGCGAAGCAATAACATGCAGGGCAGTCACGGAGGAGCAAGGGCATCACTTACCAGGCGAATGAGAGCTCTCATGGAGGTACAAGGGGGATAGCAACAACACATCGTGAAGAAAAGAGGAAAGGATGGGACGGATCTTCTTCAAAACAAGCATAGAGGAAACGGAGAAGTACATGATGGGAGCCGTGTGGAGGTAATGTTGACGGAACTCGGGAGAGATTGGGTGCTACCACTACAGCTATACTGAGCACACAGCGGGCATCGTGCCTTTACTCACCGAATTCGCCATATGGGCATGAATCTTCAGCCAGAACATGGAAAGGTGCACCGCCTCTTGTAGGACATTAGTACTGCTCATGAGTGGTAGAGTGAGATGGTGCGTCTTTCAATGTTCTGGCTGAAGATTTCGTTCTCATTTTGCGCATTTGGTGAGTGGAGAGTCGATGCCTGCTGTGTGCTTGTTATACCTGAAGTGCTGCAGCTATAATGAGCACACAGCGCCCCTCATACCTCCACTCACCAAATGCACAAAATGAGAATGAATCGTTATCTAGAACATGGAAACATGCTCTGCCACTGCCCCCCCCCCCTCCCCCCCCTCGCCCCCCCGCCCGGCCAAATAAAATGAGCCCTCATGGCTTCATAAAGTTCATATTATACACATTGAATATCACTGAGGCCGGGGATCCTCAACAAACAACCTGAAAGGAGAAATGAGTTGTGGACAGAGGTGTTGGGAGTCAAGTCTAGGGATAGGAATGGCCAGAACTTAGACCGCTGCCCTAACATATCTGCAAACCTGGAAAAAGAAACATGCCATCAAGGCCAAATAGGGGGGGGGGGGGGGGGGGGGGGGGGGGGGGGGGGGGGGGGGGGGGGGGGGGGGGGGGGGGGGGGGGGGGGGGGGGGGGGGGGGGGGGGGGGGGGGGGGGGGGGAAGGGGGGAGATGGTGGGGGAAGGCCATTGTCTGTGTTCCGTTTCGCCCTCCAGTCGGGCCGCATAGGGGCTGTGAGTCATTGGTTGGAGGCAAGGGAGATTGATCAGCATCAGGGCACACTCTGAGCAGTCGTTCTGGCAACGGGCAGGCAAAGCAGGTCAGGGGTCGTCGTTGCCGCCGATGCTCCTCTCGCCACCATTGTTTGCACTGCAGGTGATGGTCGAGTTGCAGTTCCCCTATCAGTCTTCCAAGGTCGAGCCATATGTCCTGAAACAGAGCAAGTTGTTACGCCCTTTGCGTGTGGTCCGTTGTTGTTTCCAGGGTGGTCTTCAACTGTCTCCAAGCTCTTAGAATGTTCGTTCATATAGTGTCTGTGATATGTTGTTTAGGCTGAAGAAAGACAAAACTGTGTTTTTTTCTTTTCGTGAGAGCATCGCGCCCGCCACGCCACCATCATAATTTCCAATCGTGTATATTTGAACTTGGGTTGCACGGCGTACACGTACACGGTCCCTGCACACACACGCATATGTATGCACATATACACGTACGTGTGCGTGCGAACATCGAAATGGGGCCCTCGTACGTGGTCGTTGGGGGCCATTTTAGGGCCGTTTTGTGGCCTGGTGGGGTTCGGGGTGGTTGGGGCGCAGGTGGGTGGCAAGGTGGGGTTCGGGGTTGGTCGGGGGGCAGGTGGGTGGCAAGGTGGGGTTCGGGGTTGGTCGGGGCGCAGGTGGGTGGCAAGGTGGGGTTAGGGGTTGGTCGGGGCGCGGGTGGCTCGCTATCCTGTTAGCCTGTCAGTCTCTCAGTCGGTCAATTTGTGTCGGAATCAATCTGTCTGTCTGTTTGTTTGTCACTCTGGGTGTTTGCGTGTCTGTGTGTCTGTCTGCAAGGTCCTGTCACGTGTAGTTGTCTGTCTGTCACTTTGTCACTCTGTCACCCTGTCTATATGCGTGTTTGTCGATCTGTCAGTCAATCTGTAGGCAGATGTTTGTGGGTCTGTTCGTCTATCTGTTTGTATTTCATGTTTGACTGTCTGTCTGGCAGTCAATCTGTCCACCATTCCATATATGACAGTCAGACTGTCTTACAGTTGCATGGATAGACAGACAGATAAACAAACTATGTGTGTGTGTGTGTGTATGTGAGAGTGTGTGTGCGTGTGTGTGTATGTATGTGTGTGTGTGTGTGTGTGTGTGTGTGTGTGTGTGTCTGTGTATGTGTCATGTTCGCTGTACACTTAAAAAAGCATGGCTGCACCGACTTATGAGGAGGTTGAACCCTGACAATCTGGCCAAGATGCATCTGACTGACTGATGGTTATGGACTCACCAGTGTCACCACATCACCCAGAGTTAGTGACACCCCTGAGAAAAGTGGTCGACTTTACTCACACCAACTTGTGTGTGTGTGTGTGTGTGTGTGTGTGTGTGTGTGTGTGTGAGTGTATGTGTAAAATTGTTAATATATATGTGTTCCCCTTTGAGGGAGAAGCCCGACATTGCCTATGTATAATAATAAAAAACATGTGTATGTATGCGTGTTTCTGCTCACGTACACGTACGCGAGAGTAGGTACGCGTCCGCGTATGCCGTGCAACTCACCTTTTAACAGGTTTAGCTGGAACGGAGTCCGCGTATGCCGTGCAACTCACCAGTGTGCCGCGTAAGTCGAGACTTTGGAGAAGTCGTCTATCTGATTGCCACCTGGTCCCATGGGAAGTTAGTAGCTATGAGAAAGTGTCGGGCTGCCGTCTACTACCGCCATACATGTCATACCATCGGGCAGTAGAGCAGGCAGTGCTTCAAATCGGCAACCTGTTGTTTTGTGGAGGAACCACAATAGGAGCAAATGAGAGATAATAACCCTATTTGTTCCAATTGTGATTTGGAGACCACCCAGGCATCAGTAGATAATTTGTCATTGCAGTGCCCAGCGGGATGTAGGCATCAGGTTGGTATATCGGGACCATTTGAAGGTGTGCATGGTTGTTTCATCCGGGCATGCATCCCGCTGCCACCGGTGTTTGATAATGTTGGTGGTGTCGATCGTTTGGTGTCTTTTCCTATAATAATCTTTTACATTGAATTTCCACAACGGTATTGGCTATTTACCCTCTCATTCTCATTCTGTTGGGTCGAAGCGAAGATGGGAGATCGGGGTAGAAGCCTCGTAGGCCCACCCACCCCCTTTGTCATCGCACAGAACTCGGACTCGGATGAGGCCAAATCACGACATATCCTCATTCAGATCCGGGTTTCTTTTCAGTTGCGTGAGTCAAGCTTCTGGTAGCTCCGGCTCCTACGCCTGGAGTTGTGCACCTGTTGTTGTGCACTTTTGAACCTTGAAGATTGTCATGGGGATGAGGCGTGATCTTGTCGTAATAACCCAATCGCCTTTATGTAAGTCGGACTGGGTTAGGGCTTGTCGTCCTCGTTTTTTGAAAACCTTTCCCTCTTCCTCAACAGTATGGTATGGGTATAGTTAAGGTGGTTTTGAACCGCTTGTGGGGACTCGTCAACAGGTTTGGCGAGGGGGTGCCACACTGTTTTCAATTTCCTTCGGGGGATTGAAGATGGTTGTTTATGTCTTTGGTGTTAGCTTTGCTTTGAGCCTATATGCTAGCAGTGGGCGCAAGGGAGTTTTTCCTTCCCCAAAAACACAGGGGTAGGGTTTGAGGGGTGTGAGGTAAGTGGCTTGGTTGAGGAAGAAGGGATGGGAGACTATTTTTATTGGATTATGATTCAGCACACGCGTGGCTTGGATGTCTTATAATTCGAAATCTACGAATAATGTTCTGATAACAAATCTCTTCATTTTGAGGTTGACTTTTTGTTGACGATTTCAACTAATGATTCTTGATTTTTTCTTGATAATAAGATTTCAATGATGTGTGCAATTCTTTTCCGTGAGTATGTCCTTTGGTACATAGTTTCTTCCCTTAACAATGATCTTAATCACGATCAGGATTACTTTTTTGATTTCATATATTTGTGAGTCCAATATGGGATATCTTAGATAGTTTTCCTAATCTTGTTTCTAAATTTTAATTTCAAAAAGTTGTCTCAGATAGATTTTCTAATTTTGTTTTTAAAGTTTCAATTTCTAAAAGTATGTTCTTACAAATTTTCTAAAAAAAGTGTCAATCCTTTTGCTAAAAATTCTCAAACTGCGGTTTGAGAACCGATTCGAAGATCCTTTTTGGGATATTCAAATCTATCATTCATAGGTTTTTTTCACGTGGTCAATAGAAGGTTTCTGAACTTGTATCCAAATTTCGTTTCTTGAGGAATTTTCGAGTGGGTACCCATCTATTTTTCATCGTTTGCGGGCCGGGTGTTTTGAGGATGCGTGGTACCTGGGTTGGGGGGGGATGGTTTATGGCTAGAGAAATTGCGTCCTGCTGGTGAGAAGGGCTAGCTGGTGAGATTGGATTAGGGCATAGCCGCAGTTGAGATGGTGGCTGAGCTGTTATAAGTCTTGTCGAAGTGAGGTAAGAGTTTAGTGGGGTTGGTGTTGCGCTTATTAGGGTGAGGGCTTTCACCTGATTTTTGTCATTCCTCTTCTTGCGAGCTATGTGTGGAGGAGGTCGACTCGTCGTGAGAGGTGAAATGTGTTGAGGAAGGTGTCCGTTGTGTGGTTGTGGCTGTTGTTCTCATCCCACGAACTATGTGGTGGAGGAGGTCGGCTCGTCGGAGGATGAAAAAGAGTAGGGGGTTGGAGGGAAGAGGGAGGACGGTTCCTTTGATTGTCGCTGGCTCGTTAAACGCATTCAAAGTTTTTTTTGTGACTACCTCTATTCCTCTTCTTTGAACTATGTGGTGGAGGAGGTCGGCTCGTCGAAGGAAGATGAAAAGTCGAAGCCTGTTTTCAACCATTATGGGATTGGGTTAGGTTGTTTTGTCTACTGGTTTTGTCTTCCGAGCTATGTGGTGGAGGAGGTCTGCTCGTCGGAAGATGATGAAGAGTAGGGGGTTGTAGGGAATAGGGGAAATGGTTTCTGATGGTTTCTGATGAAGTGTAGTGTTGCGCTTATTGAGGGAGGGTAAGGATTGGTGGGTTCACCTGATTTCTGCTATTCCTCCTCTTGTGAACTCTGGGACGAGGAGGTTGGCTCGTCATGAGATGAGGAATGGTGGAGGAAGGTGTCCATTGTGTGGGTGCGGTTGTTGTTCTCATCCCGCGAACTATGTGGTGGAGGAGGTCGGCTCGTCGGGGGATGAAGAAGAGTAGGGGGTTGGAGGAATGAGGGTGGAATGTTCGTTTGAGTGGTTTTGAAGGTGGCTCTATTTCTGATTTTTGTCTCTCTGTTTTTCATAGCTTTTTTATTTCTGAATATGTTTTGGAATGAGATTAAATTTTCTGATTAAAAAAATAAAATTATTTGTAAGTTGGCGTAGGGGGCCAGGGTTGCGATGGTGGGGGAAAATGCGCTATGCGGCCATGGGGCTAACCTGCAGGGTGGAAATAGGGTACAGCAGCGGTGAAGATGGTGGCTTCATTGCAGTAAGACTTGTCGGAGTAGGGTTGTGAGGGATTTTATATGGGATATCTGCAACCAGCGTCTGAAGAAGCTGAGTGATCGGATCTACAGTTACGGTGTTGATTGGTGGCTTGTCTGGTATTCGCTGTAGTCTTGGGTCTCCGTGGGCTTGCGAATGGACGAGGCCAGAACGACGCTGGTCGGTGCTGGGGCTTGGTCGCACTGCCCTGCAGCTTCAGCTGTATGAGGGCAAGAGACCTGGTAGAGAGATCTGGGAGTTGTCGAGGGTGGAAGGCACTCTAATGTCGTTTGGTAAGTTGGTACTTAGACAATGCTGGTCGGAGCCAGGGCGGGTCGGTTTGCCCTGTAGCATAGCAAGTGGGAGTTTTCTGGGGTGGGTCGTGCCACTCTGTAACCTAACAGTTGGGGGCGTGAGACCTTGTAGAGACTAAGTATCGGGATATAGGGATGAGGCAGGTAGGGGTGGACCACTGAAAGGCTCTAAGCCAGGTATTTCTCGATCTGAATGCTCTTTTAAAAACAAAAGGGCCCTCTCAAGCGTCCTACTAGTGAGGGGGCTAGCTTGTAGGACGGAAATAGGGTACAACAGCAACTGAGATGGTGGCTGTGCTGCAGTAAGTCTTGCAAGAGTGAGGTAAAGAGGATTGATGGGGGAGTTCTGAGTCGTTTTCTGAACTTTGCTTATTCCTGAATTTCGTTGTAGTAATTTGCTAAGAAATTCAAATTTTCTTAGCCAAAGCCGGGTAATGGCCCCGGTATCTCAAATATCTCAAATTTTCAAAACTTATCTGTATATAAAAAAAGAGAATGCTTTAGGATTATGGGGACTTCTAGCAACTCGCTTTAGGCTGTTTGATACTGGTACATTCATAGACCTATGGTTGTTCGATGTCAGAACGACGCTGGCCGGTGCTGGGGTGTTGCCCTGTCACCTGCTGACTGCAGGAGCATGAGGCCTGGTAGAGAGATCTGGGGATGCTTTGGGGTGGGCATTACAAGGGACAACCAAGGGTTGTTGTTGGGACAACGCTGGCCGGAGCTGGGGTGAGTCGTGTTGCTCTGTAACCTAGTCGAGCGGGAGTGTGAGGCCTTGGAGAGCGCGACAGTGAATAAGACAGTGTTGGATAGTTTTAGAGTGTTTTGTTTGGGGGTCTAGGGATTCTCAGCATTTGAAAAGAGGTCAGTAGTCATTTATAATTTTTCAACCTCTTTTTAATTCTCTTGATTTTTTTCAATAATTCTCAATAGTTCTCAGATTGATTCTCAGCCGAAGCCGGGTAATGACCCCAGTATCTCAAATGACTTATGTAACTCTATATGGGACGTTGGGCCCAGTTCCCACCATGTGCTGCTCCTCATGAATAGACTGGGGCATTTGTCCCCCCCCCCCCCACAAAAAAAAAAAAAAGTTTGACCCATGTTTAAGGGCGCGAAGCCTGGCTATGGGGACATCTTGGAGTTGCTGCAGTTTCTCCACCAGATGCTTCATGTTTTTTAGTCGAGCTCGTAGTTGCGACGCGGTTTTCTATGTGCCTCGACTATTGTCCCAAAGATCCCCAATGGTAAATATCATGTTCCTCATGCATGATAGTCAGTGGGACTGTTGTGCTATGGAGAAGGGTTGTCCTTGGTGGTTTAGCAATTGGGTGTTTCCAAACTAGGCCTGTCTCCAGACTTTGTGCCCCCTGATCGAGGAAACTGTTTCTGCGAGCCTATATCCCTCCATAAGGTTACAAGGGAGGCCCACAACGAGTCATTTACCAAGTCTGTTTTTGGCATCGTCGCATTGGTGTTGTCAGTCCTTGTCCTTGGGATTTTAGGGACCGACCAAGCAGGGTTCGTAAGCCATCGTAAGGGGTGGACAGGTTTGTTTTCCGGTGTTGGCTATGCGAGGTCAACTAGTTGGATGTGAGCCTATGGGGCCCATGAGAGATGTCATCAACCATTAACAACCTGATGATGACCTTGAAGATCAACACTTTGATCTGGTCCTCTGGGTCGATAATCGCAATGCTCTTTGGTTAAGCTATTTGGGCCCAAGCCACACATCTGATGCATTTTTTGAGTTCGTGGTCATTTCTCCATAGGTACGCTGCAATTGCTTCCTTTAGCCGAGTCAATTATCTAGGGAGCATGACCCAGAAGACCGCTTTATACCATATGGTTGACAATATTGCATTGTTGATCACGATTGCCTTGCCTACTAATGAAGTGTGAAGTCCCTTCCATTTGTCATGGCTTGGATTGCAGCTTGGACCAGTTGGTTCCCATGGTCTTTGGGCGGGTCCAAGGCTGTGAGGCGCTCTCCCAATATCCGGATTGTGTCCTCCTTTGTTCGTCAGTTGACCTGTGGGTTATTCAGTGCGGGGCGGTCCTTTGAATGTAGCCACCAACCCTCCGCTTTTGCTCCCCAGTTCACTTTCATATATCGTTGCGACGGAGAACAGGTAGATGGTATCTGTCAACGCTTTCATGGAACCCGATGAGGCATCGTCAACAAACAGTGAGGTGATCGAGGTGTTTTGGGAGGGCAACTCCGGAATAGTCATTCTCTCAATGACCGGGTTCGCTCGGATGAGCGATGCAAGTGCGTCCATCACAACCACAAAGAGCAAGGGGGCTATCGGGTCCCCTTGTCTGAATGATCTGCTGAGGGGGAATGGGGACGACAAGTGACCATTTAGCATTATGTTAGTTGCTGCCGAGTGATGCAGTGTGTTGATCCAGGGTCTAAATGCAGGTCCAAAGTTCGTTTTTGCTAGACCAAGGTCAAGGAACTGCCAGTCCACGTGGTTGTACGTTTTTTCGAAGTCGATAAATAGAACTGCGGCGTCTATTTTCCTATGACGTGCATATTTGATGATTTCATTTACCAGCACGATGTTGTCTTGTATATTTTGTTGAGGCATGAAACCTGTCTGGTCCATGCGGATGAGGTGGATCATGTTGGGTGCCCGTCGGTTGCACAGGGCTTTCGCCGCCATCTTCGTAAGGCACGGGGAGGAGCGTGATCAGACTGTAGTTCTGACTTCTGCCCTGTTCCCTTTCTTATACAAGAGGGTGGTGACCCCTTGACTCATCACATCTTTGAAGCGTCCTTCAACCTGGACCGCGTCGATGTACCTCATGAAATCCTTGTTCAGCAGCGACCAGAAGTGGAGCCAAAACTCCGTAGGAAAGACGCCCATCCCCTTTAGTGCTACGAGGATCTCTTGCTGTGTGGGGATGTTTTTTTCTTCTGTTTGTTTTTTCTTCTTTTTATTCTTGTACTGACATTTACTTTTCCATTTTTGCTCACCCAAACGGTTGAGGCACAAGAGAGGGCAACTTAGAGGGCAACCAAATTGAAAGCTCGGTCATTATAGCTGTATTTTCACTGGAAGTTGCCCCAACTCTGGTTACAATGACCGGGCGTTTCTATTCGGGTGAAGATAATAGATGACCTTGTGAATTTTTGTATGCCATTGCCCTTCCCCGAATAGAATTCACAGTCACTACCCCTGCATGTACGTCGAAAACTGCCCAAAATACAACTAAAATAGTTGTGCGTACTCCCGGGTGCAACTCACTTGGTACACCCATGAATTGTTGAAATACAACCCAAGTTAGAATTTTGACGTTGTCAGATTAACAAACTAACATAGTTGTGAATGACCTGGGGCTGGTCAGTTCAATAATGATATCTCAAGTCCTTCTACCTTTTAACCACCACTAACTTTCAGATTGTATTCCCAAGTTGGGGACATAACCTATACCGCATTCTTCTGCTGTCATTAAGAGACTGGGTGTTGCTGGACCAAAAAGGCTGGTTGCGCCAGCAAAAATAAAACAAAAATGCCGCGTTGGTGCTTCGACCTCTGATTGGCGTGCAATTCCAGTCCTCGAAAAAAAAAAGGCTATGAGGTAGTGGTGGTTTAACCACCACTACCTCTGAGCCTCATTTTGCGGCGTTTGTGGGATGACTGCAGGTAGGCCAGGTAGCTTAGGTGGTGTGGCGAAAGACTCGAATGCCCTCCCTAACTTTTGTAAGTACCCCAAGATGATGAGGTGCCAAACGACTTCGTTGATATGAGCTCTTGGGAATCATCAACCTGTTATCACTGGTGTACCTTTGATCCGTTGAGCGAGAGTCCTTCCACACGAGGCCTCCGAATCACTATGGTCGACTTCCGTCTTTGTTCGACTTGTAGGTGTCACAGTCAGGCAGGCTTTGACCATACGATCTACAACTATGCAAAGCGCTAGCTTGAGCCTACCTTAGCGCGCCTTTGTTACTCTTTAGGCAATTATGTTAATCTAATTCCGCTTGGAAATGAAAATTGATAGGGCAAGTACCTACACTTTGAGTGCTCTTGTAAATTATGGCCTTCTCTCGGAATGTATGCAATAACCCCATTAGAGACTCGAACACCCTCCCAAAGCCGAAACGTTTTTGATGGTTCGGTGATTCTAGCGAACATTCTCTACATCTAATCATTTTACCCCGTGTTTGGGGAAACTACGTGGGAGTCACAAAAATGAGTTATATTTGCACTTTGGGGCGAGATGCAGTTTCAAATTGCAGTTCGAGTAATGTATACAACCCAACTTTCTAGCCAGGTAGTGTGCTTGAAGTGCAATTGTAAACTGTATCTTGCCCCGTAGTGCAATTATAACACGTTTTTGTGACTCTCGTGAAGTTACCCCGTTCTGTTTTCTTCTCTAAATCTAATCATAATCACCGGGAGCATATCCCCACAAAAGTCACACGTGCGCTGCTAATTGAGGTGAGGCAAGTGCCAAGCAGTGAGGCGTGGGACGTGGTAGGGCCAAACTTCATTTCCTTATTTTCTTTTTCGACTAAGCTCTGGACATGATGACGGTCAAATGCGTTGGATGCTGGTCGGAATTGCAGTCAGGTACATTTAAGAAAGTGTTAGCGTGAGTATGGTCTGGCCAGGATTCGTTATATGGGCTTTGTATGATGTCAACGTGTTGTCCTCTCCTTCCTTCGTGTTTTATTGTTTTCTAAGTTGCTGTTAATTTCCGCCAAGCGTGCGATCCAAAAAATAAAAAAATTATCGGGAAGCATTTTCAATTCAGATTGAGGGGAGGGAAAAAAAAAATTGAGATTAAGGGGTGGACCGGTAGTGCTTCGATATATGGGCTTGCAAGAAAAAAAGAAAAAAAAAAAATTTTCCGATCGAGGTTGCGACCGCACAATCATCAAATCATGCAGCCGAAAATGGTCGTGTTGAAATCAGCATGGCCCCTACGCAAGGATGATAGGCATAAATTGAGAGAAGGTATGA